GTTTGTGTTATTTGAGTAATTGTTAAGAATTAAGGAAGAGTGGGATTTATATGATTGGTTAGATTGCTTACCATATAGCAATAATTACCAATAATTATCAATAATTACTATTCTAGCTAGCACAAAATCCGTCTCTCGTTTAACCCTTTGTACACGGAGAATTTTTCGTTGCAGAAAAATAGTAATTCGAAGACTTTTTGCCATAAAGTTGACGATATTTGTAATACGGTAAATAAGAAATCGTATGCAAATTAAGATGTAGAATTATTTTACATCGACATTCCACGCAACGTTGGGTAATTTTAAATTTGAAATATTAATTAACATCGATCTTTAGGTTCTGATTAAATGGCGACTGAGGATCGCCTCTCGAGTGCAAAGGGCTAATTAGACAAAATGAAATCTGCATATTTTTGACTTTCTTACAAGCTGGAACAGAGCGAATTCTTAGTAGCGAATCTATTATTATAAATTTATTAATTTATTATTTATTTCAAATCAGCGTACAATGTATTATAATACACTATGTTGGTCCCAAAATTCGCTCGAAATTGGGTCATACGTATGATTTACTCCGATTCTTTTGTACCAACGGAATAACAAAATTACTTATAAAATCCCGAGAAGTTGATACGAACACGTCTATGAATTAACCTAACAGCTCTACTATATTTGGCTTTAATAATTACCGTGACTCCTACAAAATCTATCTCTCGTTGGATCAAGAAGATCAAAGTTAAGTTTTCACGTCGTTATTTCTTCAGAAAATAAATCCACGAAGATGTTCATGGCGGTATGTCATTTAACAACGAATACCGAAAAAATTGGCAAATAATAATCCATCGTAATTTAATTAATTCCAATACTAATTTCAATAATAATTATTCAAATTTCCGTTCAAAGGAACTTGCAAAGTCTCCAAAAAGCGAGTTACCGCGAGCCTTATTCAACCACGGTCCTAATACCTCTTACAAACAAAACTACCACGGTGCGAACGATTCTTTGAAAACTCCAAGAACCAGCCTCGCGTTCCTCTACCACCGGCAAACCAGACCTCGGCCAACTATGTAAGCGCACGCTCGAGTGGCACGACTCGCTGCTAACTTTCATCGCGAAGCCGACACGTGTACCTGGGAACAGGAAATTTTGAATAGCCGAAACGACGGCGACGGGTCCGCGAAAGCGTGTCGCGCGATCGTCTTCGAGATCCGGAGGACTGACCTAAAGCCAGCGCGCAAGGGTGATAACTTTCCGCGCGGAGGAGCCGACAAAGCAGCTTATATGGCAACTTACGCGGCAACCCGTTTCGCCAAAGCGGTTTTCTATCTCGCGCTATTCGCTCCCGCAGAATGCAGAAGGACAGTCGAGGCCTGTCCGCTGTACGTATTAGTATACCGCTTGTACAAACAGGCTCGCGTTAGAAAAGAAGCCAGTCCGGAGAACGCGAGCAGAGAGAACTCGTAGATAGCGATGGACTGGAAAAGTTGCGGGGTGAAAATCAATTTCAGAACACACGAACAAGATTTCGAAATTTTTTATCTCTCATCACGTTTCAAAAATTTATCACGCATATTTTATCCATAAACGTGACGATTGGACGATGATTAAAGCGAGTTTTCGAGAATAGGTAGTAGTGCAAATAATGTAATTTGCAAATGTAATCTTGGTAAATTAGTTTTCGAGTATAGCTAGTAGTGCAAATAATGTAATTTGCAAATGTAATCTTGGTAAATTAATTAGAGCAAAATGGAACTAGCTTTATTATCAGCTAAATATTCTCGTATTCAAATAGATACCAGAGCTATAGCGATAATGAGAAATTTGCACGATAAAAATGAAGTTTAAAGAAATCGAAGATGGAAGAAAAAAATGGCGGAGATTTAATATAATGGCTGGAGGATACGAAAGAGACTCCGAACTTGGTAATTCAACCCTTTGCACTCGAGAAAGGAGTCTAAGTCGCCATTTGCTTTAACGTTGGAACTTAAATAACGAGTAAGAGACGATAGGTATATTAAGAATAACTATACAGGAAATATTGAAACAGAAAAATTTTATTCATTTATTTCTCACGGAAATGCGTGCTTCTATTTTTTTTATCTTGGCATAACATGTGTCAGTGAGCTTTTAAAAATATAAGAAAAGTTTCGAAGAAATTCGAAACAATAAATTTCGAAGAAATATAAAAAGAGGTGCTTTTAACCAGGGAAAAATCTTCGAGTGGAAAGGGTCACTCAAATTTTTGGTATTGCAAATATAAATTCCCGAAATCGTTAATTCCAAACGCGATCGTTTCAGTGGAAAGAGTCAATCAAATTTTTAGTATTTCAAATTTAAGTTCCCGAAATCTTTAATTCCAAACGCGATCGTTTCAACCGAAAGGATCAATCAAATTTTGGGTATTCCAAATTTAAATTCTCAAAGTCGTTAATTCCACATTTAAAATAGGATATTTTCACCACACATTCAGCAATTTTAATTCAGAATCGGTGCATCCCCGATCGGCTGAGCGAAAAATTCGCATCGCGGGAATTTTCGTAAAAATGCAAATTTCGGGGAAATTCGCGAGAACGCGTGGATTCGATTTAAGCGAGCGGAATGCGAGATTAGAGCAACGTTCGGACGCGAGTTTCTCCTCGAGGTGGAAAAGAATTCCAGCGATCCAGGAGTATCGGAGAGGCGATAAAGAGTTGGCGAAACGGGCCGGCGAGTCGTCGCGATTTTTCACGGCACACTGTGCCGTTGAACGCGTTTTCCCGAGATAATAGAGCGTTCTCGAAATTGCATGGAACTGGAACGTGCGAATAACAGGTCGCGGTAATTGATTCCGTTTGCCTCCGAGCGATGTCTGATCATTATCGATCATATTTTACTTGCGCGGCCGATGTTGCGGTGAATAGCATTAAGGACGCTTTACACGGATATCTCGCAGCGATTTCACTTGCTTCGCGGTTGTTTACTTTTACACGGGCCGAGTGAATTTTCCGTTATCTCGAAGGCTCGAGGGAGCGGGTTAATCGACTGGAGTTATGTCACGGATAGGCTGTTTAAAGTCTAACCTCGAACGCGTTGATTTTATAATTGGTCTCGGTAGGTGGGTACTGTTTAGGGCTGCGTTGAATTACCACGTTGCGAATTTTAATTACACACCAGGCTGCGGAGGCACGATTGCGAATTGTTTTAATTAGTCGCGCGCTACCTTCGATGAAATTTCTGTTACCAGATACGACCCGTGATGCTACGGGGTGATATGATAATCTCGGAACGATACAGGATTAATAACGAGTATAATAAATCAGTATTAAACGCGATGTCCGATAAACGAACGGGGCCTGTTACGCTATCGAGTATGGGATTATTCGTAACCGGCGGCGTCGATTTCATCTTTCGCTAAACTCGCGACGTGGTCGAGCTGAAACATCGTTCTTAATATCTCAATCGCGAAATCGATCTTTCCGAACATTTAATATATTCCATTTCCATTTATAATTAGCAAGCCGCGCGCATTTTACGTGGTTTGCCCATGGCGCCAACGTGAATTTTTCATTATGCGATGCATATTACGTTGAAATATTATTTACAGCAGATAAGGTTGTGGTAATGGTTAACATAGATTTTGAATATTACATGTGTTGGTATAATAAAGGAACGATCTCTGTAAGAAAGCGGGACAGGTATGCATGGGATGTCAATATCTAACGGATTCAGGTTATCGTGATAAACGAGTAAGAAAGAACAAAGCAGAGAGATTTGGCATAGGTCAGTTATAATTGAATTGTAACAGTGAAAATAGGTGTGAGCATGTGATTGCGAGAAATTAATTAGATTCATACTTAATATTTGTATTTAATTATTTTTTGTAATTAAATAAAGAATTGTTCTTATTGTTATTGATATTTCATCCACTACTAACACAACCTTCCTGATATCGAGTACTATGGGTACTATGAAGGTATTAGATGTGTCCTGGCAGATATTTTTTAGGATGGTTTTATATAAGCAGTGTGATGGAAATTTATTTCTAAAATCAAAAATTAGAAACGAGATGTCTGGAGTTCAGTAGCAACTTTTGTTTAATCTTCGTGACATCGAGTACTATGGATATTATGAAGATATTCGAAGATGCGTCCTGACAGAAATTTTGTGGAGGAAATTTGATACAAGCAGTGTGACAGAAATTTATTTGTAAAATAAAAATTAAAAACGAGGTGTCTGGAGTCCAGCAGTAACTTTCGTTCAACCTTCCTGATATAGAGTGCTATGGATACTATGGATAATTATTTAAAAAGTAACACGAAAAAATATTTCAATTCCCGATTTTAGGACGAAGTCAACGATGTATTTAGTGAAATGTTCTGACAACGAAGATTACAATTTATGGAGCAATTACGTACAGAAAAAACGCCGTCGTGAATTTAAAAAAAAAGAAAAAGCTTGGAAGTGTGCGAAATGTAAGGCGATTTTGTAGAGTGTGTTACGAAAAAAAATTCAAAACAGCTAGGAAGAAAAAAATGGCGACATATTATGCCGACTGTTTTGGTTCATCTTTTCTTTGTATAAATAAAATTATTTTTGCATTTAATTTCTTCAAACCATAACAGTAACAATGGTACTATTTCAAAATTTATCAGTATCGACATTTACTCTAATTATGTATTTTTACTAATGGCCGAATGGCGTCGCTGATCACCGGTGCCCCCCAAAACGCTGTAGTCAAGTCGAGTGACGCCCACCGGTGACCCCCACGGCCATAATATAAATAATAATATAATAAATAATTAATATAAATAAATTTTATTTGCATTTCTATTCACGATCCAAAAATGTTTTAAAAAGAAAATTCGCGGAGACAGTAGAATAGATAAAGGATCGCGTGAAATGACAGAAAACACAGTAGAATTCCGCAATATTCGCAAACCGGTGACTCGAGGACGGAGCCGTGGAAATAATTAGAGAAAAATCGATAGATCGAATCTGGAAGAGAATGGAGAATCGCTTACCGCCGAGTTGGTCGTCTGCACAGGAGGCACCTTGGTTCCCAGCCCGGTGAGTCCTCCGAGACACCTACGCGCGCAATCGGGATCGTTATCTTCGCAGATCGGGCAGCCTACCGTGGAAGAACCGCTCGCTTCCCTGAGCACGTGATTACTGCTGGTGTTGGTGGTGTAACCCTGATCGGAGCTGGCGTTCGAATTCGGCCTGGACTCGTCCGAGCTGTCGAACGGCTTGATGTTCCGCGGTCGATGCACGATTCCCACAGGCTCCCATATCTCGCTGGTCGTCGAGGCGTAGTAATTGTTTTCCTTCGTCTCGCGGCTCCTCTCGTCCACGACCTTTCCGCCCCGCGCCACGGTCACCTCCTCCTTCGTCACGATGGACGACTTTACGCTCAAGGATGTCTCGAGTCGTACCGGGGCCCTTCGCAAGCATTCCCAGTTACCAGGTATCACGGTGGATCTTACTCCTCGAGCTGCTCCGCCGGTCCCGGCCAGCTCGTTACCCGCGCGGCAGGCTTTCCACTACTCTTTTCGTACCACGGTCCTTTCGCGAATAGGAAAAGGCACGGGAGGAAAGGAACAAGGATAAAGATTCGATGTCGGGATCGTTACGCGAAGATTCTTGTATTTACACGAACTGGTTTGCCAAAGGTAAAATGAGGATTTCGGTGATTTTGCAAACTCCAGTTTGGGGATAATGAGTTAAAGGAGGAATTAGCAACCGTGGTTGTTACATGATGTTTTTTTTTATAGCTTAACACTTTGACTGTCATGTAATTTTTATACGGTACGCTCAAAATTTCCATTATTCTTGGGATATAATGGTGAATTATCAAACAATATGGCAGAGAGGGAAAAAATGGTGGAAATTATTAATGTTTGTTATTCGGATTTCTCTATTCATTTACGTTGTTCAAATTTTCAGAAAATGGTTAGAATAAGACAAATATAAATTTAAAAAATTAGTGACCACTGTGGCTCCACTGAGGAGACAAACGCTGGTCACTGATGATAACCATGACTGTCAACGTGTTAATAAGAAGGCGAGTGATTTCTGATATTTGACAGTGTTTGTATTTCTCACTGTCAAGATACCATAAAAAATTAGGAAAAACTGGAGGAAAGGAAGATTTCGAGAGTCGGCATTGAAATATCTAATCTTCTACATTATGGTTGGCCAAAGAAAGAAAGAAGGAAAGAAGATTCAACGTCGGGATCGTTACGCGAAGATTCTTATATTTAGACGAACAAGTTTGCCAAGGGTAAAATGAGGATTTCGCTGATTTTTATTTGAGAAATTTGAATTTGGGGATAATGAGTTAAAGGAGGAATTAGCATTCGTGATTATTATACAGAGTTTCATTTATAGTTTAATACGAAAAAGAATGGATTCTGATATTTTTCCATCAAAATACTTTAGAAAAATTTGGAAAAACTGGAGGAGAAGAAGATTTTGAGTCACCATCGAAATGTCTAACCTATTGGTCAAAAAATAAAGTTGTAACTGATGTAATTACATTTGACAGGTTAGGATCATTGTTTCATACTGGAAAAATCGCAAAATTCGAAACTGCTCGTTGATTAACTCGATATTAACCGACTGAATGTACAACATCGACGCGACTCTCAAAATAATTTGAGGAAACGACAGGACACAGGGCAGGAAGAGCCGCATGCGGCCGCAATTTATTTCGCATTAGAGCTAACTCCGGAGGATCCACGATGATACCTTAGTATTCCAGCCTTGACGAGGATCTGATTGAGCAGATCGCACGGTGGCACCTGGCCGGTTATCATGGCGTCGCGGATGGCAACGCCATCCGGGCCCTCGAGGGGGATCGGTACGCCGTTTATCAGCAACACTTCCTCCTCTCTCATGCTGGACTTCTTTTCGCAGTCCACCACCTTCACCCCGGGCCCGAGGATCGACTCCACCGTCGACTGAATCTCGTGATCGTCCATTCCTGGGAACGTATACGCAGCGCGTTGGTACGCGAAACTCGTCGCTGATTTATTCGAACCTCGTGCGAAATCGATATGGACGTGGACGCGGTTCCCTTTCGGCGAGCTTTTATGCCTTTCTGACGTACGTGGATCTCGATTTATGCGCTTGCTTCCACGCTCGATAGAGAAATACAACGATCGATAGCCGTTGCTTCGTAACCGGATATCTCGCGTTAATTGATATTCGATAGTTGTTAATTGGAACCTGCACAGGTGTACCTATAGCTGATTATGGCCCTGAATTATGCGAATTATTTATTACCACAGGTTGCTACTCATTATTCCGCATTCAGCTTGCTTACGAATTATGGCACTGCTACTATGTTCTTGTAAATTATATTTATACATTTTATATATATATAAGATTAAATATGGCGACTAAGAACCACTCTGCATATATATATA